ACTGATTCAAAAAAGGAGACATCCGCCGAGATAAAGTATCGACGTAAAGTGGGAGAGTAGCAACGGTAACCCTTCTGAGACCGAGGGTAACCCAGAAAAACACATTTATGAGACTTGAGAGCTAATTTATCCAAACCTGGACCAAGATGATGAACAAAACATGTAGAACCAAACACATGTGGAGTTAAAGGATATAAAGCCTGATGGGGAAATAAAATAGAGTGAGGTACCTTATGATTGAGAACAGATGATGGCATGCGATTAATGAGATAACATGCAGTAAGTACAGCATCACCCCAGAAGGTGTATGGAACATTACCATCAATTAACAAGGCACGAGTGGTTTCAACCAGATGGCGATTCTTGCGCTCGGCTACACCATTTTGTTGAGGTGTATGAGGGCAAGATGTTTGATGAAGAATGCCATGAGATGAAAAGAAATGTTGAAATTGATGAGATAAGTACTCACATGCATTATCACTACGAAAAGTACGAATAGGAATACCAAACTGAGTTTTTATTTCATTATAAAATAACTGAAAAATAGAAAATAACTCAGACCTCTTTTTCATTAAAAATAACCAAGTACATCTAGAATAATCATCAATAAAAGTAACAAAGTACTTAAAATCCAAAGTAGAAGACTGACGACTTGGTCCCCAAACATCAGAGTGGACCACAGAAAAAGGAGAAACAGCTTGACGACTAAGACGACTCGGAAACGTACTACGAGTATGTTTCCCAAACTGACAAGACTCACAATTTAAAGTAGAAATAGACGATAAATGGGGAACCATCTTCTGAAGCTTTGCAAGACTAGGATGGCCCAGACGAGCATGGATAATAAGAGGAGAATCCACAAAGGAGCAGGCTGAAGAAGAGGGAACTAGTTGATAGAGGCCCTGAGACTCACATCCTTTGGTAATATCCTTCCCCGAACTCCGATCCTGAAAGATGACAGAGGTTTTAGTAAAAGAAACAACACAGTCAATGGATTTGGTCAAACGACTAACAAAAAGTAAGTTAAAAGGAGAATCAGGCACATATAGAACATGATCCAGAGATAAATTGGATAAAAGAAGAACCGTGCCAATCCCCCGTGATTGGACCAGAGACCCATTGGCCATAGTAATTGTTGGAAAAGAACCAGTAGTACAAAGGGAAGTGAATAAGGACTTATTACCAGAAATATGATCAGAAGCCCCAGAATCAAGAGTCCAAGGGCCTATAGAGTGCAACTGAGATATGCCAGCAAAAGAATTACCAGAGGGAGCAATGGATGCAGTGGGACTTGATGTTTACTTCTCAGACCACCAAGTCACATTCATTCAGAAGAGCAGCTGGAGGTTGTGCACTGGAAGGTAACTCTGAAGCAGAGGTACTAGAGAAAGCCTGAGCAACATGAGCATTCCGAGGAGGTGGAGGTGGCCTGCCATGAAGCTTCCAACAGCAGACAACAGTATGATTGGTCTGATGACAATGAGTGCATAAGAGCTTTCCTTTAGAGAATCGACGTCCACGACCATACCCTTGAGCAGCAAAAGCGGAAGAGTCAACATAATCTTCTCAACGTCCACGACTACATCCTTGAGCAGCAAAAGCGGAAGAGTCAACATAATCTTCTAAACGTCCACGACTACATCCTTGACCAGCAAAAGCGGAAGAGTCAACAGAATCTTCTCTACGTCCACGACCATACCCATGAGCAACAAGAACGGAAAAGTCAACAGAATCCACTGGGGGCATAGGCATCATAGGAGGTGCTGATGACGGAAAGGGCTTAGAGGGAATTCTAAGCAAGGTAAACATTCCGGAATCCAGTGTAGCAACTGTAGCAGATCCTAAAATTTGATCCCGATTGGCAGACAAATGGTCAGGCAAACCATATAAAATGAACAGCATAAACAGTGTATTACGCTGTTCCTGTTCCTTAAAAACATCACCAGTGAGAGGCAGAAGTTCATTAAGATCATGCAGCAGACTCTGAGCTTTCCCCAAATATTCAGTCATAGGACAATTGAAGTCCCGAGGAGCAAAGGTAGTCATCAATTTCCGACACACACCATAGAGTCTCTGGGTATCATTGGTGTACAGTGCTTTTGCCTGACTCCAAATAGCTTCACAAGTAACAGCAGGTCGAAAGATCTGTTTGATAGACGGATGAAGAGTATCTTTAATGAGACTACACAACTGAGCATCAGTTATCTTCCACCGTGTGCGCTCCTTTTCCGCCACAGATTCAGCCTTAGTGGTGAGATGAGATGTATAATTCTGCCCATCCAACCAAAGTTGCAGATCGGAAGACCAAGTATCATAGTTGGACCCATCTAATTTATCCACACTCAACGGAGCAAGGATATAATTGGAAAAAATAGTAGACTCCGACTTTTGTCCAGCCGGAGTCCCAGGACCAGAATCATTGGATAGAGGAAAGTCCATAATCAAAGAAAAATCAGAAAGAACAGATTGTACAACTAACCGGTAGAAGAGGGATCTGTGCGTCAATGCAAAAAGTGGTCAGAACAGGAAAACAAGACCGGATCCAGAAGCGTCTCAGCAAGACGAACAAGACGCAAAAAACCGCGGCCGGAAAAGATGTGTCACGCGCCTCCACGCGCCGCCAGTTGGAGGAGCGTGCTGAAACCTTGCACGCGCGCGTGAGAGCGCGTGGGAGGTCTTCTGGGGAAGCGGCCGGTGCCGGAGTGACCGCGTTGACGAGACGATCACGACGGTGTGCTGCGTGCCGGAAAATGCCACCGGACGATGATGGTTGACTGTACAGAAGCGTGAAAGGAGAAGAAAAATAGTCCGGAAACTGACAACGAGACAGTTCCGGAAAAAAAATTTAAAATACGATGAACAGTGGGTTCACCGAAAAAATAAAAATAAAAAAATTCAACGTTCCTTAGGCTCTTGATACCATGTTGAATAACGAAAGAGAAGAGAGGAACATTTAAAATAATATTGTGTATATTGATATGAAGAAGCATTTACAATATATAGACACTCTAATGGACTAAGCCCAAACCTAATACAAAAGAAATAAAGAAACCCTAATTACATAAGAAATAAGGAAATCCTAATTATACAATATATTTCTAATAATGTTTAATATTTGTTTCATTTAATAATTAGGATAATAGATTAAGAGAATTAATGTAGAATTACTCTTTTTGATTATACTATTCGAGTTGGTGTGCGAATGATTTAATTTACTTATTTGAATAATTTGATCATCTCAGAATTTGTATATGATATGTGAAATAAGACGGAGTGGTTTGAGTTATTTGGACGGAAAAAAAACACTTCTTGAACGTTTAAAGATGAATATAAAAAATTGTAACAAAAAGAATATATAATAAAATAAAATAATGTAATTTTTACATCTCAATTTGTATGTGATCATTCTTTACTGCTAACTAATGGAATTATCTTTTATTATCAGTATTTTATCATAGAACCTTCAATTCAGATTATGTATTGATACATGGGTTTTATAATTCTCATTTAACATGAGAATTACAATTTTTCTACATACCATTCGATTTTCCTGCTGATATGGGTCTTACATATAATTTTTTCTAACACATGGGTCCCACATGCTTTTTATCTCTATAACGTGAGATTTCAATTCTCCTTTAACATGAGAATTATAAAACGCTTCCTATATATGCAGAAAATGGAAGATGAATGCTATACTCTTTTTAATGAATACTGAATGAGTAAATCAATGCCAAAAGTGGTGTTACAGGTGGTAATACCACATTCGAACTCGACTAATAGCTAATCAATTACCAACAAAAGAACAGAATCCAACGAATTTCATTTCGTAAGCAACTGACTGGTCAATATCATCATCGACCAAAGCAATCAGCTGACAGCAGAGCAATGGGTGACCACAGACAAGGCACGCCACCGTTCTGTTTCTGTGGCTGATTCATCCGACAAATTACATTCATTATTTTTATGGAAACTTATATTTGCGATTATTTATATAATAAAGTTATATTTATAAAATTTTTATTTATAAACTCTTACCAACTACATTATATATGACATGAGATATTTTAATTAAAAATGTATGACCGATCGAATTTAGTATAATTTGTAAAATAAAATAAAATTGCAAAGAGATCCTTCCTCTTATTTATATAAGTAACGTTATTTTGACAATATTTTTTACTTATAACATTTTACAAAAAAAATTTATCGTTAATTTTTGTCAATCTAACACTTATGATTTATTAAGTCACATTTATTAATTAATTATTAATTTCAATAAATTATAATAGTTTGATTGACGAAGTGAAAAAATAAGTTGTAAAATTGTTAGGTTGTAAGAATAACGTTCTTTTATTCCTATATATTTTTTAAAAATTCAAATAGTCTATAATATAGACATAAAACACTAAAAATATCTAACGTTTTATTAAATCATAAAATAATTTCTATGCAAAGATCAACGTGCTAAAGAATCCATATTTAGATCTTTGCTTATGTAAATATCTACACTTAGCAAGTTTTTGTATACGTAGTCTTGAATCCGTCTATTAGATGTACGAATAAATTTTGTAATCAGATTGTTCGACGAAGTCTCGATTTAGCTTCCATAGCATAGTGGTAGTGCGTTCGCTTCGTAAGCGAAAGGTCGCGAGTTCGATCCTCGCTGGGAGCTTTCTTTTCTGTTTTACGTCTTTTGAAAGTTAAAAATAGGTACTCATGCATTTCTGGGAACAAAAACAGCTAGCCAACTAATGATCCATTAAAAGACTAAGCAAGCTTTTGAGTTGCTTGCAGCTACATTAAAGCCAGCCAATGATCCATTAAAAAATTAAAATGCTAAATTAAAAACCCCTTTCAGCAGTTAAGGGATGACAACGACATTAGATTAGAAAGTCGAGATTAAAGTTAAAAACAAAAGCAAAGATGAAATTCAATTACATAGTTAGGATTAGGATTGTAAATTCCTTCCCCTTAATTAAAGAGTCTCTCTCTAGTAATCATTTATATTGACCATTTGGTTCAGCATTTGTGAGTGGAGCCTGAGATGAGCCACCTGCATTTGCATTTGGATTTGGTGCAGCATCCCTCATGTAAGTCCCCCCTATGGGTGCACCAAAATACGATCCATTTGGATGATGATGATGATGATGAGCAATGTGAAACGGTGGAACGAAAGCAGCAGAAGCAACAAGAGTAGTCCCATATTCCACACTAGTCCTCTTCCCAAGTGGTTCACCTCTCATAGAGGTGCGGTCACCCTCCATCTCACGGTATCGGTGAAGGTACATTGTGAGTGGTTCAATATAATCATCAAATCCTAGCTTGCTCATAGCCCAAAGCACATCCTCCGCAGTGATTGTCTTGCGTTGCTCCCTCTGGCAACGCTCATTTGCCTCCCCAGTTATGAAGCTTATATATTCAGACACACACTCTTGGATTGTTTCTTTTGCATCATCAGATATTTTTGCATGTGGCGGTAGGATCTTCCGCATTATCCTAATCACATTTGCAATTGGCATGAAACGGTCTTGTTCCCTCACCATGCATTCATTCTCCTCTGTTCCTGTTCCTGTTCCTGACTGGTTGTTCTCTCCTGCTACCTGCCTCACGTTCAACCCTGCTGTCATTAATTAAGAACATCAAATTCATTAGTGCTGTGCAAATGAAAATCTAGCAAATCCACTTTAGGGGTAAACTGATATATAGCTTCCTCGAGATACGAGGAATCCGAAGAAAAGGACAAAAAGCAGCTCTGAAATCATGCGAATAAAAACGGTTCTCTTTTTTTCATGACTTTTGTTTTCATGCATGCATTCATTCATCAGTCTGAAACGCATTTCAAAGAGGGGTTGAATGGCTGTGTGTGCTTGTGCATGTAACGGACCAAGATGGTTCAGACTCGTTTGGTGAGAAATTTAAGTATACTTAAAGAGACTGAAAGTGTGGAGTAAACACCGGAGGTTTATTTGAAAGAAGACAAAACAGATCGAAAGTAGGAAAATTTGGCAGTGGAGACAGATCCTTGTTTTCTGATATATATGATGTTGGAGAATGCATGGACGCCACTTGTAACTTTCAACTCAGTTACTGCATGCATTCATGCATGCTTGCCACTTGTTCTGTCCTCAATTATACAGCCATGAGCCGTTAATGTCATCATCTTCAATTCACCGCATTCCACTACTTTGCTTTACTGAAACCACTACACAACACAGGTAATTAAGTTGATGGTAAGAAGGAACTAATTGGAAGACACAACCCTCTCAAGCAGATTAGGCCTCAGAATTGGAAGACACAGGTAAATAAGTGATGATAAGTTCAAACCAAGAGGATGAGATTAATTAATGCAAATGAAAGAGATTTGTAAATTAAATAAATGCTTGAAAATGAAAGAACTGATCGATTCAACTGAAAGATGTCACGTCTCAGTGGATTTGACAGTGTTTATCTTTGCAAAGAAAAAGGGAAGAGATGAATGGCTTGCATGCATGTGGTTGAATAACTGTGAGACAACTACTATATCTATATATATGCCACAAAAGTATTTAAAAAATGTATAATCCTGCATGCGAGAAATCAAGACCAAAGATGAGACCTTTAGTCATGTGGTTAAAATATTAATATAACAGAAAAATTGGGTAGATTTAAAAATAAAAAACCACAAATGTAAAAGAGAGAACCAGTTGTAGTTTTTTTTATATATAGTTTACCAGAGCTAGTGTTGGGTAGCTTGCGGTAGCCATGAAAACCTCCACTCTCCATTGATGTGTTTCACTGTGAGGAATTGACTGTAAGAAAGGGAACGTTAGCGTGAGATATGAGATAGTAGGCATTGGAGTACTTGGCAAGTGTCGACATTTATAGTGCTCAATTTTTGCAGACAACGTGTAACTGCAGGCGATGCAAACGAGGAACCCGGTAATAGCCGGTCACAGACGATGAGACATCCGTTAAAGGTTCAGTCCACTCGGATTGGGGACTATGACAAGACCGACAGCCGTAGGTTGCTTCCTTCATCTGTCACACTAGACGTTATATATTTTGTTCAATAACGTTTTCCAAGGTAAGATTATATTCACAATTTTTTTTTTTTTTACAAATTTATAAACTACTGATCAGTTATATATTCTTGATTGATATTTATTTTTGTCTATCATTCTTCAACACCGTTAGATCATAATCTCAAGAAGAGAGAAAGATAAATATTAGTTAAGATTCTGATATAATGGTGTGTTAGAGTGATAGACATAATCTATTGCTTTATAAATATAACCTTCCCATGTTTCTAAGCCACGTTCACATATCATGTCATATTTGTATAAACAATAATATTATTTTTGTTTTATTTATTACTTATTCGCACTTTCATTTTAGAGTTTTATAAAAGTTATGTTATAAAAAAAGTGATTGTGTTATGTTATAGAGATTCGTTGTTCGTGTCGTAATTTTTTTTTTGCTTCAAAAAATGCAAACCCCACAAAATATTATATGTGTAGGAAAATTTTTGTGGTCCTTCATTTTATGACTAGGGATAAGTGTCAGGAAATATGTTTGGGGTTTATGTACGTTGTCAAATTAACGGCGAGAGAGAACAAATTATAGATAACAGCCAAAAAAATAATCCTTAATTTTTTTATACTTATATAACTGAAATGGTATCACTTGATGTTATAAATGAATCTATTTTCATATTATTCTGTGAGTCTTATTTTTAATAAAAATATTTTTCCCACCAAAAGTACATCTCCTGGCCAATTATATAAAATAATTATAACTATATGATAAAAGTTAAGAGAGGGTTATATATATATATATATATATATATATATTTTATAAACTATTACAAACTATACTATATACTAGGGATAATATACTATGTGCTAAAATATATTACCCCTAGTATATAATATTATTTAAAAAAATTTATAAACAAAAAATTTATAAATATAAGTTTCTCTTAAAATTATACTTATACCCATATGAAGAGACGTGAACGTAAATATATTCTCACCTTTTAACACTTTTTAAGCAAATTGCAAAACGATGTCGTATCCGCCAATTGGCGAATTCTGGGAACCCGTAACTTTTTCCAGGGAAACTTTCTTTCTATAAATACTAAATTAAGTATTCATGCGAGGCATTTTTATTTACAAAAAAAATAAAAAATAAGGGCACATTTTGTGAAAATACTATGGTAAATACAAATATATTTTCATGTAAGATTTAAACTTCGTACAATATAAATATATTTATACATCACAGAACACAAACATTATTTAACTAGAAACCATTTTTAATAGTAATGAGTATAAAAAATTATTTTTATGAGCTTTTTAAATATATTTTTAAAAATTCACGAGTTAATGCATTAAATTTTGGCTTTTTGACCAAAAAAATATATAAAAGTTATTAAAGTAACTACAAGAAATACGGAATTTAATGGACTTGGATATACAAACCAAGGTTAAGATTATTATTTAAAAGCGGTCAAATTCAAATACCATCTCTATTGTACCCGAGCTAGAATTCATTTGTAACGCATATAACACCACCGGTCATGGGTCATGGTTTAGGATGCAAACCTCTGAAAAATTGAGGCTATAACTCATAAACGATGCAAGTCATCGAAAACGAGGAGACTCTTTCGAAATGTAAATATTTTTGAGTATTTAATAACTTTTAAAAACTGTTCAATCACTTGATCAGTCTTTTATTTTAAGATATTTCGATTGATTCATCGCTTCACGATTAGTTCGATTCAGAGAGAGTTCCACAATTAAGACTTTAAAACAATATTGAAAATAATCGAACACATTACCTGCTTAATTTTCTGATACCAACTGAGCTACCATCATTTAATTTACTTGATCAGTTTTGATCCGTCGTTGACTCAAATCCTAAGTACTAGCACTTTAATATATTTTACTCTCATATTTTTTTAAAGAGTGGTGATAATTATATTACTTTTTGTTACCTCATTTTAGAACGTTATGTTATTTACTATTTTATTGAAATTTAAATCATTTTTTCAATAATAATAGTTTATTCCCAACTGTTGTCAATGTATAACCTGTGACTTTCTCGGTTATTTTAAGAAATTCCATTTTGATTTGTTTGCTTTGGTGCATGTTGTTTGTTTGTTTTATCAATAATTGGCTTTGATTATTGTTTTTTTACTTGCTAAATCGAATTTCTCCTTGATTGATGGGTCTCACAATTTGCCAAATCGATTGGAGCTCTTAAAATGAAAATAAATGTTTCTGTATCTGTTTATTTTCTTCTTGTGATTTATTTGATTATATAAGTTCTTTTGTAACTCATTCTGATTCTATATAGATTGAAGTTCTTTGGTTATATAAGCTCTGTTTTTCCCTTGTTGCATTTTTTTTTTTTTAAATAAAAGGTAAAATTATTTCTGCAGCCACTTTACGTACGACAAAGACATGTGTATGATTATGATTTTTCGCATTTAATGCTTTCAAGTATATATATGACAAGTATTTAATTTCTGCACGTACAGCAGATGCAGAAATATAATTTAAAATTTTTTTTCCATTAAATTTTAAATTAATTTAAAAAATAAAGTAAGACTTTCTTTTTTAAGATAAATAATATATAGCTTGTTTGGATGGACAACTAATGTTCTTTAGCACGGTTGGGATGTATATTTAGTTTACTTTGTTGAATGAATTTTGGCATAATTTTTAAATATTTGTCTGAATTAGATTGTAAGGGAATTCATTATTTCATTCTACTATTTTATTTGTTTTAATAATTATATATGATTTTGAGCGACGTTATTGATCAATTACAGGGATTTTTTTTGGGTGTTAGCTGAGCACACAACTCGGTCCTCTTTATTTTCTAGAAAATTTTATTTCATTTAAATTTAGAGATAGGATATTGTTATTATCAATTAGTATTATTATCAATATCACCACCATTTTATTTCACCGTTAGATCGATTATGTGGATTCAATATTTATTTTCACTCTTGTATGATTATGATTAAAAACCTATCTCTTAAATCTATATATTTTTTTATATTTTTCTTTAAGTCCTAATTTTTTTAATCTCTTTTTGGGAGAGATGTTGGTACTAATATAGTACAGAAAAATCTCTCGAAGTACAGATGATATATTATTATTTCAACAATATTTTATTATATATAATTAATGTGCCTTAATATTAGCCATTAATGTGCATTTTTCATTTCAATTTAATTTCTTACCATATATGGACTATCCAAGAATTCACTTATCTATTTGTTAAACCAAAGATTTAAATATGATACTAAACAAAACCTAGCACAGTCTGTAGATAGTTAGTTCCTCAAACACAGTTGAGAAAGATTTACATACTTAATTTGATGTCCCATATCGAAAGAATTAATTTTGGGCTATATGCTAAAGGATACCTTCGAAAAAAAAAATTAAATATGATTGTGTTAAAAACAGTCCTCGCTGGCATCAATTTAAATATGCGAGGAAGATAACTGATGTAAATTGAAGGCTCTTTAACCCAAATAGTATATTGCAATATTTTAATCAATATCAGTTTCGAAATGACGAAATCTAAATGTTTTGTAATTTTAACATTCATTCCCTGAATAAGGCCCAGATTCTGAATAAACTCTTTAATTTCCTTATATATATGAATCATGTCTATAAATTGAGCCAAAAAAAATTGTGTATTGTATCATAGGAGTCAGAACATTGTGAACACTTTGATCTGAGAAAATGAGAATTTGCAACTGCAACGATAGCAGAAATGTGGCAAGTGTGCTGATGCTTATACTTTTAATATCAGCGATTGTGATATTCCCTTACTTTATTTCGCCAGATCCTCCAATTATCATACTTCTGTGGATGTGTTGTATTCCTATTTTTATTATGCTTTATTCACTTTATCTTGCAATTTTCGTTTGGTGAAATGGTGCATTCTGTCCTGTCGCAGAGAGGGGAAGGATACTCCCAACACAAGGCTCTGCAACGACTGAATAATTTTCTTATAAATAAATTACGTTTAGTTATTTCCTTGTCCAATGCAAGGAAAATCAATGAAAAAAAATATATAATATGTAATCTCTCATCTTCTGCAGTTCCCCATTTCTCTAATAAAATCTTCTTTTTGGAGAGGATTTTATGATCAAATCCAAACTGTTTGTGTTATGTTATGTCACTTGTTTTTACTTAATGCTTTTTTTTTGTAATTATTGTTAAATGATCTGCATAGTTTCAACTTTCATCACATTCCGGAGATTTGCCACTCAGAGTCCGTGATTGAGTAGACACAACATCCCTGAACTCTCAAAATAGAGTAAAGTGATTTAAATATTTTTATTTTTATTTTTAAAATAAAACAAGCAAATTGCTTGCATCTCCCTTAAGTATATGAAATAAATGAATATCCTTGAATATGTTAATGTTACAAAATTAAACATGGGTTGGCGCAACTAATGAGAGGGACCTACATAAAATTACAAGATAGATTGTGTACTTTTACATAATAAAATAAGGGTTTGGTGTTTATCATTTTAAATGACATAAGTTATGTCATTTTAGAAGAGAGATAGAAACAGAAAAACGGAAATCATGGGAGAGAAAAAGTGGGTGGTTTTTTTTAATTTAAAATTTAAATTTTCTGTGTCTGTATCTCTCTTAAAATGACATAACTTTCTGTCATTTAAAATGACAAACATTTTTCCCATAAAATAAAGGGTCCGTTTTTTCTGCATTCACTTATTTTTTTTTTTTTACAAC